GTTTAACCAGGAGAGGCCATTGGAGGAAGAACGTCACGTGACAGAGGGGTGCCAATGTTATTCTTTAAGGGTGTCAAGACCCTGTCAGTTTGTGAAATAAATATTGGGAAACAACGAAATGCAAAAAGCGACCTACTACGACAGCTCTGCAATCTATGGTGGCTACCCCTACCAAGGAGCAAATGGTTTCACTTATAATGCTAGTCAGCAGCAATATCCTCCATCTTCATCACTTGTGGAAACTGAATATCATCGACCTGCTTGCTCTTTACAGTCACCTGGCAGTGTTGTGTCCCACCATAAGGCCAATGAAATCAACGAGAGTTGTATGAGGACCATCACTAGCCAACCCCTCCAGCCCCCAGTTCTTTCAGAGCAGCAACAGCAACAGCCTCCAGCCCAGCCAGCACCACCTCCACCGCCACCCTCTGTCTCACCACCTCAAAATGCCAGCAGCAATTCTGCCCCATCTAATACTACCAAGAGCCCAGTTATTAACTCACCCACCATGTCCAAACAAATCTTCCCATGGATGAAAGAGTCTCGACAAAATACAAAGCAGAAAAACAGCAGCTCCAGTTCAGGTATGAAATGCATTTATATTCTGAGTGGCTTCTTTAGGCTCACAGGCCAAATGGAGGGATCAAGTATTTGTAGTTTCTCCTAGATAGGTCATCTTTTTAAAATACTGTGGAGTAATTTTTTCAAATATATATTTTTTAACCTTGTGTCTTCTAGAAAGCATTTTAGATCACTTTAAAGTGACTTTGGTAAAATGTGAAACTCAGCCTTGCAAATCATTTCTAAGTTATTTAGTTTCCAGGCACTCCTATTTCTAAGTGTCTAAGCTTGATATAACATTTACCTCTTACTATGTAACAGTCCATTCCACAGGTCATGTTCCCTTTTCTATTAAATCATGTCAATATATAGAGGCCTAGGCCTCTAGCCAGAGGCAGGTCCTGAGTATTTTGTTGGCACAGTATTATCAGAATAATAAGACAGTGACCTAACCCTGCTGAAGTGTAACTGGAATAAAATAGCTCATAATCATCTGCAGTCAGGATCAATGCTTTACTTATATTCAGAACCTATTCTTATTTTAGCAGACTGATTGGCAAAGTTACAAGGCTGGTAAACAAAGATCATTTGTGAGTACAATCCAGTTAGGTCCATAAAATATTACTGGACTATTCGAATATATGACAACACTATTACTAAAAATGTAAATTTAAATCACAAGCTTCTGTTCCCAGACATTTGTTTATAGCTAACACTTCCTTCATTTCTTGAGTATTTTGGAAACAGATTTCAAAACTTTTAACAATTTTTTTCTTTCATATTCTTTCTTATGGCTTGGTAATATTACCATTAACAACTTTATATGTCATGTATTATTTTATTCATAAAAGTAATGTGCTTATATGTATATGTACATATATGTTTATATTTATTTTTTGCTTGTATATATGGGACATGCACACATATGTCTGAGCATGCATACCACATGCTCATCTGATGAAGTGGGTTTTACCCACAAAAGCTCACAATACTAAATATTTTTGTTAGTCTCTAAGGTGCCTGAGGACTACTCGTTGTTTTTAAAGTTTATGTATCTATGATGAGAGTTTCAGACCACTGTGGGGGATTCCCTTAATGGAAATATCTGAATCCCTGGATTGCTTTGAGGAAACCAACTATAATGTATGAAAGATAACCAGACTTATGCATTAGGAGTTCATAAGATTCACTTTTAAAAATCTTTTCTTCTTATGTAAGAATTATTTCAGGTAAACCACAGCATTTAGTTCTGCCTTTCATTGAGGCAGTAATAGTCATATAGTGACACTTCAATGGTGAAGGAAAATAATGGTTAACCAGTTGGTTCTTGTAGCCAGGCTGGCATATTTTAGCTATAGAATGAAGTGTACCAGAGTGCTGGGATCCACAGACACTAGTCCTAGCCATGGTTTCTATTGTTTCTGGTTCCTGTGTTCAGGTTCCGCCATGCTGATTGTATTCTTTGTGTGATTTGCATAGGTGAGAGCTGTGCTGGTGATAAAAGCCCTCCAGGGCAAGCCTCCTCTAAAAGAGCGCGTACAGCTTATACAAGTGCCCAGCTGGTAGAACTGGAAAAGGAGTTCCACTTCAATAGATACCTTTGCAGGCCAAGGAGGGTAGAAATGGCGAATTTGCTCAATCTCACAGAAAGACAAATCAAAATATGGTTTCAGAACCGCAGGATGAAATATAAAAAGGATCAAAAGGGAAAGGGCATGATGACCTCTTCTGGAGGACAGTCCCCGAGCAGAAGTCCGGTGCCTCCAGCTCCCGGGGGGTATCTAAACTCTATGCATTCTTTAGTAAACAGTGTTCCCTATGAGCCCCAGTCACCTCCATCCTTTAACAAGCCTCATCAAAATGCCTATGGCATCCCTGCCTCATATCCGGCTCCTCTCAATAATTGCCCGCCTCCTCAAAAGAGATACACGGGGACAGCAGCAGTTACTCCTGAATATGAGCCTCATCCTCTTCAAGGCAACAGTTATGGAAATCCACATATACAGGGAAGCCCCGTCTATGTGGGGGGCAACTATGTGGACACCATGACCAATTCTGGGCCTTCCATCTTTGGTCTCACTCATCTCCCTCATCCCTCCTCCGCCAACATGGACTACAGTGGACCTGGGCCAATGGGCAACAATCACCACCATGGACCTTGTGATCCACACCCAACTTACACAGACCTTACTTCTCACCATCCTTCTCAGGGAAGAATTCAGGAAGCGCCCAAACTCACCCATCTGTAACAGACCTGAGTGACCTATGAGGAATGAAGTTCCCAACTTTTTAAAAGTACATTTCACCCTCCCCTCCAACCTCCTTCTCCTTTTTTCCTTCTGTTCTGTTTGGTTTGGTTTCCTTTGGTAAAATGTTCTATAGTTTATGTGACGTAGCAATATTTGTTGCTTGAATTGCTCTATAGTTTCAATAGTGGATATTTATCTTCTTGAACTGTAGCCTTGTGTCTCGCTTTGGGAGTAGACATAGGCTTTATACTTTACTTCTACACTTTTATCAAAACAGGGTATATGAACAAATTTTCTATAACAATAATTCTTAAATGTGAATTTGTTCGTACATGATTGATCCCACGGGGAAGCAATTTTTTTATTGCACTTCTTTTAAATAGCGAGAAAGAAATCAAAAGGCGCTTGAACAGGGGCTCCCTGGACAATTATTAATACGTGTTAAGTCTTTCAATGTGTGTATGCTGGTGAACATTCAGATTTATTTATATTTTTTTTGAAAACATTGAATAATCTAAGTGTTTAAAATTTTATTTATCCCCATCTGTTCATATTTATATATATATATATATATAAAATATTGTACCCTGAATATTCAGGCTTATATTTGAGAATGTGTGTTTTATATATATATATATATAAAATTCTGTACACTGAATATTCAGAAGGTATTTACCTGGCCGTATGTTAGATGGCATATTGGCATAAGTAGGAAATATCATTTGAAAGGAAACTATTACTCCTTTATTTAAAAATATAATAATGCAATAAAATCTGAGAAACATCACAATTTGAATAATTTATGCTTGTAACATCCAGCTAAATGGGAAAATGTGTAAACCTGAAAAGACTAGATTTCTTTTGAAAGTTATACATTCCTTGCTGCTCACATTCTGAAAAAAAATAAAGTTTTTATTCTGAATAATAAAGAGTTAAGAAAAAATTATTTGTTAAAAAAAGATCCAAACCATGTGACCACTAAGAGAACGGATGTGTGGGTGTGTGACACACTCACACACACAAATATCCAGTACCCAGCCCACATAACCCCCAGTTCCCTTCTATTTCTCTTATCAAGGTTTTGTAAAACTGCAGCGATTTGGCAAATCCCAATATGTCTTATGAGCTGTGACAGTTTCAGCGTTGAAAATATCCAGGATGCAAATGAGCCGCCTTTTGTGTGCATAGCGGTAGGTGCTGAGCTGCAGGCATGCTTTCCAGGCACTGCCAAGGGGAGGGTATTTTTTGGGGGGGTCTGAATAACATTGATGTAGGTCTGAAACAAAACCGCGTTTATTTCGCAAACAGCCCCGCTCCGCACAAAGCTCAGGTGCTCGCGCGTACGGAGTGACTCCTGAGGCAGTGGCTCGGAAGGGTAAGCCGGTCCTTGCTCTAGAAATGTTGGATTTCGCCATGTTGGGCTCGTTATTTTTCTCCTGCAGGAACCTACGGCCCCACCAGCCATCCGTGTGGAGCAGGGCTCTTCTCGCCTCTGCGCTGGAGGACCTTTGAAAAGCTGGGAGCTTTCTACTCCCACACTTTTCCTCCCAGGGTCAAACCAGACAATCCAGCGACTGTTACATTGTGCTGGGAGGAGAGGGCCGTTAAATAAAGCACAGAGAGCTAAGGATAAAAACTAGATATTGGGCATGGATATTCTGAAGGCACGGATTTTTTTTAAAAGTTAACCATGAAAATTACAGATCCCTCGCTCACCCCCCAAAAAGAGAAGAAAGCAGAAGAAGCCAGTTGTTCAGGCTTGCTTACACTTCTTGGAAGCCCAGCTAGTTGTGCAGGCTCGTAAGCAGGATCACGATGTAGTTAGGGATGTTTTCTTCTCAGTATGTTGCTTCCTATTCGTCGATGATTTTAAACAAATGACCGGATTTTGTATTTTTTTCATTTTGTTAATCTGACTTCCCACCCCATCCCACCTCCTCCCCTTTCTGGCCCTGGTGGGGGAGGGGAGACCAGCGCACTCTAGCTTTAGGCTAAAAATGCGATATTGCAAAATACTTACTCTCCGAATGGCTTTCGATAATAAACTATCAAACTATTCACATGCAAGAATATACCGATAGGGATCGGTATTCATTGGAATCCAGAGAAGAGAATTAACGTACTGAAATAAGAGTTTTCTTTCATAATGTTTACATGATCCCATTTTTTTAAAATTCAGACTATAAATCAGGATGGACCTTAATAGACTAGGGTGAAATATATACACATATGTATATAGAAACATAAACATGTGCCATGTAGATATTAACCCATGCTGTTCTTTATCCGTATCCTTTAATGCAGAGAAAAAAATGTCGCCATTTTGGTCTCTCTCTAAAATATTATTAATCCTGACTCTTTATCTTGTTCCGAGAATCATCCTTGCTCGATGTTTGTGAAAAAGATTATAATATATCCACGAATCTATATATAGGTACTCTGCAAACATATATATAACGTTTCAGTCAAAGAAAATGATGTTGTACATATTTATTTAGTGTACATTTATATACCTCAATTGAAGAAGAGGTTGCTTAGAATCTGTGAGATATTTATCATTGAATCATAAGATATATTCCAAACAGACCTAAGATAGAGCATTGATCTGAAGAGGAAGAAAGTATCTTTTGACAATTGATAAACCAAGAAAGGGTTATTTAGGAAACAGTCCAGTTTTTTTAAACAGCCCTTATTTTAGGCAGGTTAAACAAAACCAAAGGAAACGTCAGAAACTATGAATTGCGTCTTTTAGCACAGATAATTAGATTTATACAAATATTAGAAAGAATTTGCTTTTCCACTCCCCTTCTTCTCGTGCCAAATGTAAATATGGGCGTATTTTCCCCTACGCTTTTTAGGAAAAAAAATATGTTATACATCTTGTTTGTAATAATTTTACAATCTCTCTATATTGGATTTTTTTTAAATCTGCTGATTAACACATATTTATAAAGACACAGTAATAGATTTGTGCAAGTATTTTGCGTTCACTGTCCGAAGAGGAGAAACCTTTTGTTCCAGGTGGTTTTTGTATTAGACCGACCGCAAGAAAATAAATAGAATAAATAAATAAATAAATGTGCAGAATACATCCACCCACAGAGCTTTTACTTACAAAGCCTTGTTACACTCCACATCTCCCTCTTTCTCTCCCTTTATTGTTTTTCGTCCTACTGTTAATTCCAATATGTTAAAGTAAAAAATAAACCCCCACGTAGCCAGCCAGCGCTACGTCAAATAGAACCGTTCTGTTCCCACAGTACTGAGAAGAATCCTGTAACAGTACATTTTAAAAGGAGCCCTTTTTCTTGTTTACTTGCGTTTCTTGCTCTCCTTCTTTGCTCGGTCACATTTGATCTTGGAAAGAGCAAGAAGGTTTAAATGTGTTCTTAAGGGCCAGTAGCTGTCAAACCTTTTGGCGGACAAGATTGATCACGCGCAGGCATCACCAGAGCTTTGTTTGGAGTAAAAGCAAGAAAATTAAACCCCCAGCATTTTCCAACAGCATCTATATTTATAAGGCATCCCTTCTGAGGTATTAAATGACAAGTCTCGTTCTATATTTTATTTAAACAACCTAACAAAACAACCTTCCTTTAAAACACCCCAACCCCATTCCTCCTCTCGAGCCTTTGCCAGATATACTTCATCTGGTGGATTTATTAGCTTCCAGCCGAGGGGTTTTGGTCAACCTCGGATCGAGTGGAGAGGTCTAATGATCAGTTTGTTATTTGAACCACTTACAAAGATGCTGGCGTTTCCTTTCAATGCAGTTCCGAAAGAGAGCAGCGATTGCCAGCGCCACGCTGATTTGGCTTCCTTAAACTATTCTTTCTAAAAGCATAACGATGATGTTTTTTCCATCCTGCCTATAAAATGCTGCACGAAAAAGACATGGCCTGTGCTTTGTGGAAAAAGCACATTTCGGATGTATTCCCTGTGTAGTAGTAGTAGTAGCAATAATAATAAATAATACATTAATATAATAAATAATAAATACATGTAACCATCAGCATAATACTTTTACAACTCTTCTCCATTGGAATGAAAGGATTGTGTCAACAGATCAGCGTCCAGTAATTTGCTAGTTCTGTAAATGGCAAATGGGAACTACTGTAAATAAAGCAAATGCTTTTGGATCATGTACAGTTATTCAAGTTGGAATCCTTGCAGCATTTCCTCTGACTTATTAATACATATCTATCTATCTATCTATCTATCTATCTATCTATCTATCTATCTATCTATCTATCTCTACAAATCTAACACTACTTTCCAATATATTTCCCTGTAATTGAACATACTCACCAGACCCATGTTTTAATAAGCAAAACATGTCAGCAGGCGCCAGTGTAGTTTGCAAACTAACGCATTGGATGGCTTAAATTATTGACAGTTTATATGCCTCTACACGGTATAGATATAGATACATATTGTGGTCCACTTCTGTGAAGCCAACTGCAGTGAAAAGTCCTGACCATAAAGCTGTTTCTATGTTACTCTTCCCATAGGAGCAAGGCTGCTGCGGAAAATCCTGCTAAACAATGGGCTGAGAGATCGGCGGCCAATTGTTCTCCATACTGTACATACTCTCTCCCCCCCCAAAGCACCGGTGACATAGGGATGCCAATTCGGGAGCAGTGAACTAGTTTAGAGGAAGTGCCATTCCCCAGGAAAAAAGCAGGACTCTCTGCCTGGAACTCCTGCCTGGGCGCAACTTCTTATGTGGCTGAGATGTGGGGGCCCTAGGTGTCAAAACTTTGAAGATTAATGGATTACTTTGTTAATGACTCAAAGCGTCAGATTGAGGTGCTTAAATGATTTGCGAGGTGCAAAGCGTTTTCCTGACAGTTCCAAACAATGAGATGAGTGTGCGGGAGGAGACAAGAGGGGCAGCAATGTGCAGGACAAGCAACCACACACACGCGCGCGCGCACACACACATACACACACAGAGAGACACACACACAACACAGACACACACTCCTGCGCGCGGATCATTTCAGATTAGGACGCAAAGCCGATAGATGCGGATATATAATTTCCCCCCGAAAAAGTGTAAATAAAGCCTTTCTGGCCCCCAATGAGGCGTTCCTTCCCGACTTTTTTGGATCAATCAAACAGACAGTGGCTTCTTTTGATTAAAGCCCAAATTGTCATTGGGCAGAGGCAATCATGTGACAGCCAATTCGGTCCAATTTCAACCTTGTCTCCATGAATTCAATAGTTTAATAGTAGCACGGTCCCCATACGGCTGTAATCAGTGAATTAGAAAAAAAACACCCCAGCAGCGATCTTCTATGATATATTTTTTTCTTCTCTCTCTCCTTTTTCCTGGGCCTTCCCCCTTCCCCCCCAAAATCCCTAAATAAGAGGGAACTTTTTCTCCAAGGGGGCTGCGAGTTGAAGGCCATGAATTTCGAATTTGAGCGAGAGATTGGTTTTATCAATAGTCAGCCATCGCTTGCTGAGTGCCTGACATCTTTTCCCCCTGTCGGTGATACATTTCAAAGTTCATCAATCAAGAACTCGACGCTTTCACACTCGACACTGATTCCTCCTCCTTTTGAGCAGACCATCCCCAGCCTGCACCCAGGCAGCCACCCTCCCCACACCAGCAGCAGCCGTCCCAAGCAGAGCCCCAATGGCAGCAGCAGCAGCCCGGTGCCAGCCGGCGCCCTGCAGCCCCCGGAGCACCCCTGGATGAAAGAGAAAAAAGCCTCCAAGAAAACTACCCTCCCGCCTGCTTCTGCCTCAGCCTCAGCCACTGGACCAGCCTGCCTAAGCCACAAAGGTCAGTTCAAAGACTTTCCCCCTAGAGCTAGCTCCTTCCCTTGGATCGTTGCTTGCCCAACTTCCCTGGTTTGGGCGGAGGAGGAAAGAAACTGGTGGGCTCCACGGCGTTGTGAAGCCCCCAAACTTTCCCTAACTTGTGCAGTGGGGGATGATTTATTTGAGTTGGAGCTGACCTCCTCTTGTCCTGCTGTCCTAGAGTTAGGATATTTGACAGTAATGAAGAGTGATAGATTGCTCCTGCTCAGCTAAGCAGCTGATGCATTAATTATAAATTGCACTATGGCTAATATAAAGTTTGCTCTGGTCGGGCAGGGAGCTTAGATGCAATAATTTTATTGAGGTGGAAAGGGGTCCACAGGACCGGGAGCACCGAGTGCCACACAATGGATTTACTGCAGCCCAGGGCGGCCATTTTGTTGCAGTTGCTATTTTATGCTATAGATGCATGTATCTTTTCCCCCCATCTGAGGTGCAAGGGGCTGGGAGGCGAAAAATCTCAGGCTGTGCCTTTGTGTGGTTTTGCAGAGGCTCACGAAATCCCTGACGGCGGGAACGGCGGCTCCAGGCGGCTGAGGACGGCTTACACCAACACCCAGCTTCTGGAGCTAGAGAAAGAATTTCATTTCAACAAGTATCTCTGTAGACCCAGGCGGGTGGAGATCGCGGCGCTGCTGGATTTGACGGAGAGGCAAGTGAAAGTCTGGTTCCAGAACAGAAGGATGAAGCACAAGCGACAGACCCAGTGCAAGGAGAACCAAAACAGTGAGGGGAAATGTAAGAATTTAGAGGACCCCGAGAAAGCAGAAGAGGAGGAGGAGAAATCGCTCTTTGAGCAAACCCTCACTAATGTCTCAGGCGCTCTTTTGGAAAGGGAAGGGTACACGTTTCAACAAAATGCACTATCTCAGCAGCAGGCTCCGAATGTACACAATGGAGAGTCCCAAAGTTTCCCCGTTTCGCCTTTAACGAGCAATGAGAAAAATCTGAAACATTTTCAGCACCAGTCACCCACTGTTCAAAACTGCCTCTCAACAATGGCCCAGAACTGTGCAGCTGGCCTGAACAATGACAGTCCTGAGGCCCTAGATGTCCCTTCTTTACAGGACTTTAGCGTTTTCTCCACAGATTCCTGCCTACAGCTCTCAGATGCAGTTTCACCCAGTTTGCCAGGATCTCTGGACAGTCCTGTAGATATTTCTGCTGACAGTTTTGACTTTTTTACAGACACACTCACTACCATTGACTTGCAGCATCTGAATTATTGAGAAATTAAAGACGTCCTATCTATCGCAAAGGGTTATGGCTTCTTGTTTCAAATTCCTTTTTTGATTTTTCTTTTCCTGGTCAGTATTTTCTGTTTATAATTCCCTGTACTGTGTTCCAGAGCCATTTTTACTGTTTCTTATGAAGTTTTAGTTGTGTCCATTTTAACCTAGTCACATTCTAGGTCCCTCTATGAAAGCAATATATGAGGCCTGTAAGAAAGTGATCATATAGAATTGTATCTTCACTTTCTTTTTATTTTTGTATTACATTAGGATGCGTTGTCATAAGTATTTTTGGTAGAATAAATTCTTGTTTGCTACAAGTAGCTTTCTTCTCTCTTTCTCTCTCTAGACATAACGGGTATTCCCCCCCACCCCTCCTAATTTATCCTCAGAAATAACATTAGACATTCTGGTCACAATCTCTCACCTTTTGGTAATTTGATAGATTTATTAGAGCGAAAAAAATCACATTCAATTTCTTTATTGCAAAGGTTCTCACAAGTCAATTCAAAGTACCCGATGAGTCTCACCAACAAAGGTAATAACTAAACCCCTCCACATCAAGATTTCTTCTTTTTAATGTACATATAACAGGTTGTCTATGTGTGTGAACGCAAGTCTTGGATTTTCTAACTCGTGACAAAAACCATAATGTGCAGTTTCGGCTGTTACAGGCAAAATATAATCTATTATACATGGGAACGTGCCTGCCATAGAAGCTGGCTTGTTACACGAGTGGAAGACTCATTTTAAACACCGTATTCTTCTGTAACTCAGCGCAAATATGTCCACCAGGTCGTTTTCTGAAACACGTCCTTAAAAATACAAAGGCTAACAAAGTGCGCCTTGGATTAGCTCCCATGTGCTGAAAGATTCCAAGAAAACAAACCTAAAAAAGAGAGGAAATAAGAACAATTATTATCGAGAAAATCCATTTCGGAGGGATTTAAATTCTAAATGCAGTTCCTTTCGGGCTTTTCTGCGGGGTCTCATAACGAGGTCGCTTTCTTTTAAACCGGGTTTGCGATGCTAAGGGTGGGTCATTAAAACTGGAAGCGAATGGTGAACATGTTTCAATTGCAATGAAGCCACTTGAACGGCTCACTGTCCCAAATGTGTAACTTTTTTAATTACAGCGGTAACGAAGCTCATTAAAAACTACAACTAATTAGGTAAGAATATATTATCGATATTAATAACCCAGTTCAGAAGGCGAGCGGGTTTCTTTTTATACTGCGCTAAAATCAAGCAACAGATGCTTAGTAAGTAGTTTTACTGCTCACAGATCGCGTCGCCTTTTGATTTTGAATATTCTGGGGTATATCTGAAACGCGGTCAATGAATCCATGTGTCTGGAGTAGTTTGTTTCCATTTCATTTGAGGTGTGTTGTTTCTCTGATCCGCAACACTCTGTGGAGCTGGGATGCGTGGGCAATAGCTGGAAGGGCTGGATGCAATTCTTCCTAAACTCATAAATCACGCTCTTTCTATGAATGAGAATGTCATCAAAGAGATCAATGACAGGAACACATGCACAAATAAAAATCCTCTTACGTATTTGCCGGAGCCGGGGATCCCCGTCTGAAACCATTAAGTTAGGAGGCGTTTAGTCATAATTCATTTTTATTGCTCGTTTAAAACAACAGATTGGCTGAGCTGCGGATGCCGCAGAAACCTCGGAGCAGCTTCTCTCTCTCTCTCTCTCTCTCTCTCTCCCTGCTTCACCACTTTCGCTTTTGGAACAGGGCAGTTTCCTCGAGGATTTTAACGCCTGTTCGAATGGACTTTAATTATTGGCGTTACGATATTTCGCTAAGACTTTTACACAGCGTGATGTCATAGCGTCTTCTTAAATGGACCGGGCTGTTTAATCAAAGGCCAGCAAACTTCTCTCGGGATTTATTTAAATTCAATATCTGCAAATCTAGCTGATAGAATTCCTCCAAGAAACGCATTGTTACCCCTAAAGTTCGTGTGTGTGTGTGTGTGTGTGTGTGTGTGTGAAAGACACACAGGCATATACACACAAGTATTATTTGGGGAATGTTCCAAGAATGCGCACGAGGCGCCAGAAATGCTTCAAAGCTTTGAATTGCTGGGGAAGGAACTCGACTTTCTGCAAACCGATGGGCCGAAGCAACAAAGGGGGCAGGCTGGGGGCTAGCATAAAGGTTTTCCTTTTATAAGAGCAGCATAGCTCTGAATTTTGTGTGCATATGCCATCGTGTCGGAGGGCAACTTTTCTCTTTGGGAGGGAGAAGAGGTATTTTATCCCTGGTGTCCCTCCTTTCCATTATGTGGCATGGAGGCACTGTAATGGCAGCAGAATCCGAGGCATTGAAGGAGGACAATGTAACAAAAGACACGGATTTCTTCAAAACAATGGTACAGAAATGAAGGAAACCGTTTAAAGGAAGCAAAGGAGAGTAACAGAGGAGCTGTTACTTGGCAAAAACCACGGGTAAATATTGGGAAAGGAATTCTATCTGCTGTTAGATTTGCAGCTATATTGTTTTTAAATATGGAGAGAAGTTCACTGTTCTTGCAGTAAACAATTCTGTTCTATTAATATGATGGTATGACATCAGTGGTGTATATAAATAGATTATACATGCATGGTATATTATACACTTTTGTTAATCGTCAAAGTTTGTGTGAGAGAGAGAGACCCAGGAAAAAGACATCTCTTTTTCGGTAAACAGATACACCAGCCCGAGTCTGCACCTGGTGTATACAGCATTTATCACAACGGATTGACAAGAATTAAATAAGACAATATTGCAGCCCAAAAAGGGTTTGAGGGACCATTGTTCCATACCGGCTTGCTGGCCACCCCTCCCTTTGACACCCCTCCCCCCCCCGCTTTTAAAGACATTGGATGTTTTCAATCGACTCTAATCTGTTCAAGTGTGTAAAATGTAAATAGAAAGACAAACCTTTTATGGATAAGTTTAAGAGGGGGAACGTATATTCGGTGACATGGGGGGGGGGGGGCTATGAAGGTGAAACGAACACATGGGTAGCCCGAATAGGAGCCTGTGGTGGCGGGGGGGGGGGGGGGCTATGAAGGTGAAACGAACACATGGGTAGCCCGAATAGGAGCCTCGGAAACTTTTGGTAGCTTATCACTTGGAAGAGGATGTTGCACTTCAGTGTGTGTGGGTGGAGGGAGAGGGCTGGAGAAAGGAAAGGGGGAAATAGCCTTTTATATTTTAAGATACAAACAACAATCAATCGGGCACGGTGACAAAGCAACACATGCCAAAGTTGAAGTGTATCTGCATAAATACACGGAGAGTTCTTCAGACTGAAAAAGATAAGAATAAAACTATTTCCGAAGTTACATGGCTATCTGCATGTTGACTAGCTCTTGAACTGTGTGAAAAGATAAGGTGAATGTGAACTCAGATGCCAAACACCATCCACGCTTTTCTATAAAATGGTACAATTTTCCTTGCCTGGAACAAGAGAAAGTTTGAGAAAGATCACAGCCACCAAGTGACAAAGAGGATTAATTGGAAATAGGGACTGCTGTGGCTGGCACCTCACCTCCTTTGCTTTCCCCTCCCCCTAACTCCTGGGCATGTCCTCCAGTGCTTGGGTGTGTTAGGACCTGTCCCTGGATCTCACGCATTGCATCCCTGTGTGTGTGTGTGTGTGTGTGTGTGTGTGTGTGTGTGAGGCACATT